GTTAGCAGGGAGCTTTCTTGTTTCCTTTCTTTGCCACCCATTCCTCTCTAATGCTGTAACTTGGGCAGCTTTGTTAAAGTGAGTATTTTCAGATGCCTGTACTTGTTCTTGTGAGTATTAGAACTTGTTTATTGGCTGAAATTTGTCTTGCTAACTAGACAAACTTCATGTCTTCCCCAGACACACATCAGAATGATGTCCTGTATCACTATTGAACACAGAAAAGTATTTCCTTTTCTTTTTCTCTCCTCCTGAAGCATATGCTCATCAGGCTCTGTTTTGGTAAACACTGAACAACTGGTAACCATAATTTCTTAAACAGAGAACCTCTTTTTTCACAAGATAAAAGCAATACCCTTCAAACTGGTTAAAAGATTTTTTATTCTCCTAGTTGAACTCACTGAGACAATACCAGGCTTGCTAACTTCCTATTTTCCATTTTGTCCCATATCCTTCCTCTTCCACTATTTACCTGAGTCCTGTTTCTCAAATCCCACACTGATGTTTGTCTATTTCTGAATGCTTTTCCTGCACCCTCTGGGAGTCTTGAGCACCTCAGCATTGCCCTACTCCCAAGCTGACACCAGCCTCCGTGACCACTGCTGTGGATGAGACCTTCCTGATTCACCAGTGGTACTTTTAGTCACATCCAGCATGCTATTTAGGGAGAAGATGAAATTTTATCTGCGTGGCTGGAGGTGTCCTTCAGCTGCCCTGGACAGTGCAGTAAATATGTCCCAGTAGCTAAATGTTGGCATTCCCCTTTCACAAAGGTTTTGAATGTCAGGAAAGCACAAGACTTTCAGAGGGAGGAGGATGACAACCTTAGGTGCTTGTTGATTCCTCACTTGAAAGAGGATGGGATCACCAGTGGTACAAGGTGACTGACTTGGGAGTCACAAAGAGCAGTAAATGTTTTAGTGCCCAAGGAAGAGAGGTCCCTTTTACCTTTCAAATGGGTGGCCCTTGCAATTTTTGATATAAAAAATCGGCGTTGACAGAAACAGGTTCTGAAGAGATTAAGAAAAATACTCCCCCAGTAAACATCGTAGCAGAGTATCAGAAGATGCAGGATGCATGCCTTGCTTCTGAACATGATGTATTGGTATAATTGGTACCTTCTTCCCCTTCAGTCTCCAGATGTGTCTCCACCACCTGAGGAAGAACCTGTTCCTGAAAAAACAAAGCGTTCCCGTAAGGACAGTTCTGCTTATTGGAAATCTTTGGCAGCGAGAGAAGACAAAAATGACGTCTCCTTCAGACCCAGAAAAGTACGTACAGCAGCAAAACGTGGTTGCAGTTCCATGGTAACTTAAAGGTGGACCTTGCTGAGATCAAAACCCAGAACAATGCAATGACATTTCCAGCATTCAACCAGCTTTTAGTTGACGTGACACAGCCTGGCGAGGTTGCCACCAAACAAGAGTAAATTAAAGAGTTCCTGGATGTATATTGTATAATTACACAAATATATATATATAAAAAACCAAATATTTGTGGAAATCAATCCCTTATCAGATTTTAAAATTGGATTAAAGGGGAGCCAGAGTAAAACAAAAATGCAACTACATTTATGACATGTATTTTTATACTCCTGCTTTTAAAATATAGGCGTCTATTTGCATAGCATGGGCACCAACTTCTAACTTGCCCTGTTGATTAGTTATCACATCATGACTTTTGGCAGTGACAGTTACTGAACTAGATGGATCACAGCACACTAAATATTTGCTACCTAGAGTTGGAATAGTGGAAATACAACTTTTGTGTCAGGGCCTTGTTAATACATGCTTAGAAATAACTGAGAAACAGAACAACATAATCACAGTGAGGTCGTTTTTGTAATATTTTTTTTCTCCTTAAAAAGGAAAAGAACGCCACTGAGCAGCTGTGTTTGGAGTTTGTTTATCATTTCCCTAACCCTGATTTATGCTAGTATCTACAATGGTCTCAGAGGACTGAGGCTACATAGCTGATAACTCTACAGCTAATTACTGTTTTCCACTCTGAGGATCGTGAGCCCGAGTCAGTAATTTTAAATAATTACCTTAAGATCTTCTTTCCCACATTATGTGTAATTGGAGTCCATGGCATGATATAGATTGGAAGTGACAACAAGAGAATGCTCTGTTTATACACACACAGATTGCTGACCTCTATTCTGCTGGGAGGCCACACTGCTTCTTTTCTGTGTCTCATAGTGGAAAGCAATGCTAGAACGTGGCTCCCTTTGGCTAACAATATCTTCTTAGTGCTTCTGTTGCAAAAGGCCCATCCAAAATAACTACACAAACCTTTATTTCGTAGATATGGAGCCCTGATGCCACAGCAATGCAGTTTGCAGAAAAGCGAGAATCGCTCCGAGAACGTGCTGCTCTTTGTGGTCACATGAAAGATTTTACAACCCTCTTCAATAGAAAATTTAAGGAATAAGCACAGCATCTGGAAAAAGCTGCTTCAGCTCATGTTTTGAGGAGACAAAGATGTAAAAGGCTACTCCTTTGCAAGGAAGGAATCGTGCAGTGCTCAGTAAATGTATCTCGGTTACCATAAAAGAAAAGCATATCAAGTTTTTCCTCTGTAGATTATGTTGCTTACACACAATCTTTTGTTGAGGGCTTAGTCTGGAAAAAGATTTATCCTCATGTGATCCTAAGTCTTGCAGCTGGCTCAGTATACTTCATGGAATAGCCACTGTTGTGACACACACGTCTTTTGTAAAGGTGTGGCTTTATAAGGCTTTCTTCACCCCAACACAAAACTCCTTCCTGGCAGATACATTATCCTTCTACTCTATATATATAGATATGAAGATGGCATTCAGTAATTAGCTAAGTCAGCAATGTTCTGAGTTGTGTGTAGAGGCAACAGGGAGTTCAGAATTTATGACCAGGACTATCACAGTGCCTAGTGTACTTCCTTCATGTTCTCCCATTCATTTGCCAAAGCGCACGTGAGACCTCAAACTGCTTCCACCCCAACGGGCACATACTGTTTTCCTTCTGATTTCTTGAAAGGATCATAATCTCTGTGTAATAATCTGTAATCCATTTGCCATGTCTCCCACAGACAGTTGTTATCTCTCAGATGAAGGAGGGGTCTCACGGGGGTGCTGATGGAGACCTGCACTGCAGAGTTCCATCCACCGAGATCATCAAGTCCAACCTTTGACCACTGTCACCCAGACCATGGCACTGAGTGCCACATCCAGTCTTTCCTTAAACACCTCCAGGGATGGTGACTCCACTGTGGTGGGTACCCCATGTGTGGAGATGCGAATCTTGACTCCATGTTTCAGAAGGCTGGTTTATTATATTATGACATATATTATATTAAAATGCTACATGAAAATTATACTAAAATAATAGAAAAGGCTTCATCAGAAGGCTGGAAAGAACAGGAATGGAATGCAATAACCAAGACTTGTGACTCTCAGAGTCCGATGCAGCTGCATCTGTGACTGGCCATTAATTAGAAACAGCCAACATGCACCAATCACAGCTGCACCTGTTGCATTTCACAGCAGCAGATAGTTATTGTTTACTTTTCTTTCCTGAGGCTCCTCAGCTTCTCAGGAGGAAAAAATCCTAGCAAAGGATTTTTCATAAAATATCATGGCTACACTCCACCACCTCCCTGGGCAGCCCATTCCAATGCTAAGCCTTTCCATGAAGAAATTCCTCCTAATGTCTAACCTGAATATGTCCAACCTCTTCATTCTCCAGGTAATTTTTCCTAAGCTCTTCCAATTTGCCAGATGGGGTTGTTAACAAACACTGTTCTGGGGCATCCAAAAATGACATCACATTCATTGTTCCAAATTTTTTGCTTCTAGATTCTTTCTAAGAGATTTATCTTGCTTCATCATTTCCTGAAGGACCAATTGAAGCAACTGATTCATTTCCCATTCCCTCTGAACCACTTCTGGTTCAGCAGCTCCCGGTGAGCCTTCGTGAGAGCTGCAAAGCAATAATGACCCTCTGAGGGTTGTCCTGACTTCAGGAGAAAAACATTCCAGCAGGTCTGGGCCCCACTGATCACTGCACTGGAGCCAAGGGAGCCTTGTCTGTCTGTGATGCCAGTTTAACATTGTGACTCACATCTGCAGCTGGGTAACTGAAGTTCTTGTTAACAGATCCCTCGGGGGCAATCAGAGCAAAACAACACTGAATGACCAGTGTGTGATTTTCATCTGCCAGCATAAAACTTCTGCTGGCTGCAGATGATTGTAAATAACAAAATAGTAGAGCATCAGTCAAGTCCTAGAAGGCATTGTGGGCAAGGAGCCCGTGAACAATCGTAAATGAAACTGCATCTCTGAAAGAAGGAGAAGCAAAGGGGCAATTTGCTGAACAGTAGCCATCAAAATAAAATCAAGCAGCAGTCAGAAATTATACTGTAAGATAAAACTGTGTTTCTGGCAGAGCTCTGTCATGGAGATTACCTAGGACAGTTCACAGCCTTCACATGTGCAACGAGGCTTTTCCTGGTTCTTAGTACAAGGTTGAGCAGCACACCATTCCTTGTGGGATCCTTCATTACCTGTGTCAGGAAGGGATCATCAAAGCTTTCCAGGAACCTCCTGGACTGTCTGTACTTTGCTGTGTTGCCTCTCCAGCTGTCAGTGTGATTAAAATCCCTCACAAGAGGGGAAAACCAGGACCTGTGCATTGAGGCTGCTTTGAGCATGCTGCATTGTGGCATCACAGTGGTGATGGAATAAGGAGGCTGTGTCCTGTGCAGGACACCCACTGCAGTCCGTAAGGGATGGGGGAATAGGAAAACCTGCTTGGCCTGGAGGAGGCAGAGCCACCCACAGCTCCCCTGGCCATCAGACTGGCCTGGGACAGTGTGACACAGAGCAGCACTGCAGGCAGGGGCAGTTCTTGAGCAGCTGACATCCCAGCTGCCCCTGGCCCAGCAGGCCAAGGACAAGGGAACAGCAAGGCTGTGGAGTGCAGCTGGGATGCTGGCCGAAGGCTTGGCAGGTCCGGAAATCCATGGCAGGATCCCCAGACTTGGTGAGGCAGAGGCAGACAGGTCAGCATATTCTCCCCCTCCCTGCCCACCCCGTGGGCCCGGGGACAACGGGCTCAGGTGGGGCTGTCCTCACAGGGCAGGCGGCAGCTGCCAGCATCGGCTACCATGATGGCCACCAGCACGCGGCTGAGTCCGAGCGGCTCAGGAAGGCCAGGCTGCGCGTGGAGAAGGCCATTAAGGTGAGGGGCTCGATTTCACAGTGCCCCGTGATGGCACATGCCCGCGTTTGTGCACCTGTGGCTCAGAGAGCCGAGCCAGAGCACTGGGGTGGGCAGGCTGAGCTCGCTGCTCTCCCGCAGGAGAAGAAGATCTTCACAGTGCACGGCCCTTACCCCGTCATCCGCCGGCTGCTGCGCGCCCGGGGCTGGGTGGAGAGGAAGCTGCCCCTCAATGGCAAGCAGCTGAAGCAGCAGCCTGGCGACCAAAGGAAACAGCAGCAGGAGAAGAGGGCAAGTGGTGGTGGTGATGAGCAGGGGGAGGCAGTGCTGAACCCGCGTGGTGGAGCACAGCCTTCCTCGGGCACCGCAGAGCCTCTGCAACAGCCATGCTGCACAGCACACGATAAGGAGAACAGGGAGGAAAGGGAAGATGAAGACAAGGAGGAAGACCAGGAGCAGTGCAGTGAGGACTCTGAAGACATCCATGACCTCATGGTTAGCTAAGAGGGCTAGGGCTGAGCTCTGCCACAGCTCCCCACGTCCTCCCCTGGGACCCTCAGGGGCAGGGCACAGCCTGGGGCGAGGGGATGGGGGCTCCCTGGCTCACCCTGGCCCACTCCCTCCTGCAGTCCTTCCTGGTGCAGGACCAGGTGCCAAACTTCCTCTGGACCATTCGCCTGAGCAGCGTTGACCAGGAGCTGCTGCCAAGGATTGAGGTGGTGAACCGCTATCCCCGGCTGGCTGCGCTTTGCACCAAGGTTGGAGCACGGGGGCCTCAGGGAGGGGGCACAAGGGGTGGAGGGGTCCAGAAGGGAACGACAAGCTTCTCTAAACAGGAGGGGCTGTGCCAAAACCTGCAAAACTTGTCCTGGTTTGAGCAAATCGACTTCAACACCTTTTTCCCCCGGTGCTACCGGCTGGGGTTCAGGGACGAGGAGGAAGCCTTCACCGGTGAGCGTGGGCTGCTGCCCTCCTGTCACCCCTCGTGCTCCAGTCTTCCCATGTCCTATGCAGGACTGGCTAGGGATGATGCTTGCCTCTTGCAGAGGATTTCTGCCTGACAGCAGCTCGCAGCCTTCTCAAACTGGCCCTGCAGAAGGTTGGGGACAGGCCGGTGAGGACAGAGCAGCCCCCAAAACCCGACGAGGTGCCAGGTGAGTGCACAGAGCTGGCTAAGTGGGGTGGAGGTGAGTTCAGGGTGTGTCTTAGGGCTGAGCTTGGTGGCTGAGCCTCTTGTCATGTCTGTGGCTTGGGATCCCTTACTCCATCCCCTGCCCTAGCTCCCAAGGCACCTGTCCCACAGGAAGGCTCAGTGCTTCAGCCCCAAGGCTGGCATAGGAGTCACGAATCTCACCCCATGCTGTCCACAGCAGGGCCGCACTCCCCCCTGTATCCCCAGCTGGTGGAGGAGGCCCTGAAGGTCTGTGAGCAGCACCTGGAAGTTCTGAGGCACCAGGACATCGACAGGAACACCCCATCGCCCTGCCGCACATGCATCGACTGGGACCGCTTCCTGCCGGAATACTACCGTGTGGCACAGTGGGTGCTGAGCGGGACGGGGGCAGGGGGACGGTGGCGGGGCCGGTGCTGACCCCCTGTGTCCCTCCACAGTGAGGGGACCGGGCTGGTGCTGGGCAGGGAGCAGCGGCAGCGGTGCCAGGACCTGCTGCAGCGCCTGGAGGAGAAGCTGCCTCAGCTCGCCATAGAGGGCAACCTCAACATCTGGATCGTCAAGCCCAGCGCCAAATCCCGCGGCAGGGGTAAGGCTGGGGGAAGCACGGGGCACAGACCTCCCCACGAAGAAGGGATCCCAGCATCCCTGTGTTGCCCAGGCATCGTGTGCGCGACGCGGCTGGAGGAGGTGCTGGAGCTGGCGCAGAGCTGCACGGGCCCCCCAGTGCAGGTGTGCGAGTGGGTGGTGCAGAAGTACGTGGAGCGGCCGCTGACCATCTTCAACACCAAATTCGACATCCGGCAGTGGTTCCTGGTGACTGACTGGAAGCCACTGACTGTCTGGTTCTACCGAGACTGCTACCTGCGCTTCTGCTCCCGGCCCTTCTCTCTGTGTCACCTGGAGCCGTGAGTGTCCCCCCCTCACCCCCGGCTCACACTGCCCAGCCCCCCAGCACCCCCTGACCCAGCCCCGCTCTCCCCGCCCCAGCGCCAGGCACCTCTGCAACGTCGCCATCCAGAAGCGGTACAAAACATCACAGCCGGACCCCCGCGTGCCCCCCGACAAGATCTGGTGCAACAAGCAGTTCCAGGCCCACCTGGCACGGCTGGGGCGGGCGAATGCTTGGCAGCGGGTGATGGTGCCCGGCATGAAGGCGGCGATCCTGAACGCCCTGCGCTGCACCCGGGACCAGGTGGGGTCCCGCAAGGGCAGCTTTGAGCTCTTCGGAGCTGACTTTCTCATCGGGGAGGACTTCCAGCCCTGGCTGCTGGAGATCAACTCCTGCCCCACCATGAGCCCCTCCTCAGCGGTGACGCGCCGGCTGTGCGCCAACGTCCAGCGGGACACGCTGCGCCTCGTGATCGACCGCAAGGACAACCCCACCTGCTCCATTGGTGCCTTTGAGCTCCTCTACAGGGAGGTAGGCTGGGGGCTGGGGACAGCCGCCCCCCAGGCACCCGCGCCCCCACTGCCCGTTGTGTCCCCCTGCAGGCAGCCGTGTCCTCATGTCTGACTGTGGGGCTGAAGCTGATGGTCACAGGCTGTTCCGTGAAGAAGCCCCAGCCAGCAAAGCATCGATCCAAGGACAAGCTCCCCACCACTGTACGCAGAACCCTCCAGCTCCCTGCACCCTCAGGTGACAGAGCCGCCAAGGTCCCCTGGTCCAGAGCGGCACAGGAAAAGCTGCCTCCTCTGGAGCCGCAGTGCACCTGCTGCCTGCCCAAGTCTAACCCTCCAGCACTGCCACAGCCCCCGGACTGCTCTGCTGGGAGCCAGGAGCTGCCATGGCTCCTTCACCTGGTTGGGCAGCCCGAGGAAGCTCAGCCCCTGATCAGTAGCTGTCCCATGGATAGAATGCCAGGACTACCAAGCCGGGGAGACCCCAGGAGCCCCTGGCGGCCCCCAGGCTACTCTGCTGGAGACCAGGAGCTGCCATGGCTCCTTCACCTGGTGGTCGGGCAGCCCAAGGAAGCTCAACCCCAGACAGCTTTGCTGCCGAACACCAGCTGTCCTCTGGATAGGGGACCTGTGCCACTGCCCCAGGGAACGACCAGAAGTCCCTGGCTACCTCCGGGTGCCAGGAGCCAGGAGCTGCCATGGCTCCTCCACCTGGCTGGGCAAGCCGAGGATGCCCAGCCTCAGTTAGCTCACACGCAGGAAGCTCAGCCCCCGATCAATAGCCGTCCCCTGGATAGGCTGCCCCCGCTCCAGGAAGCGCCCAGGAGGCCCTGGCGACCCCCAGGGCCTGGGAGCCGTGGATCGGCACAGCTCAGCCGGCCGGGTGGGCAGCCCCAGGCTGCTCGGTCCCGCAGAGTTCTGCCCCCGATCAAGGCCCGTCCCCCGGTGCGGGGGCCTGTGCCACAGCCCCGGGGGGCGCCCAGCAGACCCTGGCGACCCCCGGGCTGTGCACGGGTCCCTGCAGGAGTTCCTGCCAGGCCAGCGCGCCTGCCGGCGCTGTAACAGAGCACCGCACCCCAGCCCCTGCCGGGAGCAGAACACGCCAGCTCCCAAAGCGGGTGCAGGACACCTGGGACACAGAGACACCCCCACGAGGCGACAGCGTCCTGCCCGTCCTGGACGGGCTAACACAGCAGCACCCGGCTGCCTCCCACGGGAACGAGAGCCCATTGCTATGCCGCGGTAGCCACCTTAACCTGCACGCCTGCTTTAATAGACTTCCGTGAGAAGGAGCCTGGCTTGGACCTTCTGTGTTGGGAGATGTGGACACAGCTGGGGATGATGCTGCAGGCAGGACCTGGGGCTGCCAGGGCAGCTGCTCTGCTGGGCACAGACAGGAGGCAGGAAAAGCTGCCTCTGCTCCTGCCTGCCTGCGGTGGCCCCTGCCGGACAGAGCTGTGCCCGCGGTGACATTGCTGCAGCCCGGCACTGGGAAGCGGTCAGGCACGGAGTGCTGGGAGGGCTGGTGCCCCCTGACATGCCAGGGGGATGGCAGGAGGAATCCCATCCTGCGGGCGTGCCAAGAAAAGAAGTGGGTGCTTGAGCCTGGCAGCGGGTGGGGATTAATGGGCTGGCAAGCCCCTGTGGGCTCCTGGGACTGCTCGGATGTACAGGAAAGGACGGGGGGAGTGCAGTGGGGCCCTGGGGCAGCACCAGCTCCTGCAGGTTCCTTTTGTGTCAAGGTTACCCACCTTGTTACAGAATCCCAGAACGGGTCAGTTTGGAAGGAGCACAGTGGGTCATCTGGTGCCAGCTCCCTGCTGCAGCAGCGTGATCCCAGAGCACCGGCACGGGACTGTGTCCAGGCAGTTCTTGAGTGTCTCCAGGGAGGGACAGTCCTTAGTCTCTCTGGGTGATCTGTTCCACTCCAGTGTGGAGTGAGTTCTTCCTGACAGCTGGAACTGGCACTGCCAGGGCAGCTCCTGTGCTGACAGAGAGCAGACAGGATCTTGTGGCTCCCCAGTGCTTGTGCCCACCAGGCCTGTGCCTGCTGCTGCCCCAAGGATGGCTGGGCCAGGCCTCTCCTGGGCTGGGCAGGCATGGTACGTCAGCTGCAGAAAAAGGCTGGTGCTTCTGGCAGAGTTCTGACGTGGAGACTGGAGCTGGGAGAGTTCTCTGCTGTGAGAGCCAGCTCCTCAGGCCTCCTCTCTGCGAAAGTTCTTCCTCACTGGGGAACTCCTGCTGCATTAAGGTACAGACAGACCATTTTCTGCTGGCTGCCTTCATCAGGGCCACTGTGAACAAGTGGAAGAGAATCTGTATGCAAAGGGAAAATGAAACCTGGCCAGCAGCAGGGGCCATCTCCTGCATCAGTTTGGATCATGTGCCCATGTTGGTGAGTAGCTCCTGAAAAAGTTGTTTGGCAGAACAATAACTGAGGGGGGGACCATCTTCTGTTCCCCTAGGAAAGAAATCCTTATGGGCATCACCCTCATGCCTTCTCATCCCACCCAGAAGGGGCTGCAGATTCTCCCAGTCTTCACATGTTGTTCCACACAAAGAAAGGGAGAAGAGCTGACTTAATTGGCATTTTGATATCTACCACTCAGTCAGAAAACCCAGTGCTCAGAAAATGTTTTTGCATGACTGGTTAAGTCATTCAGATGCCAGTGGCCCAGAGGCAGGAGTTGGAGCAAACAGAGGGGCTTGGCTGAGTCAGAATGAATCTTTCAGGACTGTCCTCGAGGGTGGCAGTGAGGATGTATTTAGAAACTCTCCTTGTACATCAGAAGTGGAGTAGGAGAGTCTCTTGCATGAAGCAATGACAGCAGCACAGGAAGATTTTAGGGATGTGAGAGCAGGTGTCACAAGGAGAGTCAAAGGATGAAGCTCCAGAACTCAAATGACATCAGCAGAAATAAGGGTGTTGAACAAAGAGCTGGAAGTAAGCTGTGAGAGAGGGAAAGAAACTGTGCTAATGGACTGGTTATAGAAAAGCTGAGTGATCATTTGGTGGATGGTTTCAAAGGGGGCCAAGGGATAGTCAGAGAGAGAGACCTAGGTAATAGAGGGGAAAGTCTGCTCTCCCAAGTGACAGAGGCTTCTGGGAAGCTGAATCAGTTGTGTACCAGAAAGTGTACCGAGAACAAGGAAACGTGCAGGTAGGAGTTCAAACAGATTACTGCTGTAACTCAGTCTCTTGAGATGGGTAACACGAGCAAAAAATAAATCAAAGGGGGAAACCAGTGCAGAGAAGTTAAGCAGAGAGCAGCAACAAAAAAAGGAAAGGAAAGATGAACTCTGCACATGTACACAACCTAAGGCCAGAGGAGTTGTATGCTAGTGCTGGTTCACAGTCAGGCTGTCATCCAACCTTAGGCACACTTTGTGATTTGCCTTTGAAGTTCAAACACTTGTGAAGCCTCCAAGGATTGTTTCAATCTAGCAGAAGGACCTCGGGCTGACTGCTCTTGCTACCTCGGAGTGCTTCATGTCCTGCTGGGTTCGTGCACACCTGATTCCCTGTTTCATCCATGCCCCACCCAGGCAGCCCTCACACATCCACCCAAACCACAAACACACACAGTGAGTCCCTTCGTGCAGTTCCTTGTTCCCAAGGCTTCCCTAAGCCTCCCTGGAGTTTCCCCAGCCTGCCTCTGCTGTGGCTGTTCCAGGAGGAAGATGTGATCACAGTTACCTCGTGCTAGCAAACAGGACATCAAGTCATCGCTCTGATACCACAACAGCTTCAGTAAAAGGCACAAAATAACATATATATGAGAACAATCCCTCTCACCTCTGTCCTCAGATTAATCTTACAGGCATCCTACATCCAGTACGTGTATTTTGCCCAATTTATCATATATTTCACTAAGTATGTATTTCTGAGTGAAATACAAGAACCTGCTTTTTCTTCCCCATTTTAAACACATTTACCATTCAGTTGGGTTTTCCTGAAAGGCAGCTTGCAACACAAATGTTGTTCTAGTCCCAGTAATCTGTGCTCATACGCTAGTGGAAAACAGACAAAAATTCCACAAAGTGGAATTCTTGGGCTGCTCTAAGCACCGTGGAGCTAATAAATACATTTACAGCTTAGGACTTTTGAATGGCTCCTGAATAACCCAGCTTTATCAATTGTTTGAGACTGAATCCCAGGAAATTAAATTTAGCATTACTACTGCCACAAATCTCTTGCCATAGCTCCAAGGAACACCTCATTTATAATATTGAATCAGGGAAGACTTTCAGTAAGAGGAATTGTATTGACTTAAATGGGCTGGAGGAAGGAGGATTTCCTCATCCCTAAGTAATGGCTTCACTTCCTGCTCCCAAAATGAGCTTGACTGGGGCAAGTGTGTTGGCATTATAGGCCATGGAGACCTCATGGAAGAAGGCAGGGGAAAAAAATAAAACAAAGTGGCAGAGTATTTGCTGAGTGTGGCATTACAGAAGGATGGGGTGAATAAATCCTCTCCTACTAGCAGCAGTGCCTGTACAACCCAACAGCTGTTCTGTGGCACAGGGATGGCAGGGGAATCAAACACTCTGGAGCTGCTACAACTGCTACAGGCTGTGACATGCTGCCTACAGGAGAAACAGAGCCCAGGGACCCCCAAAGGCAGGAGAGCTGTAGAAACACAGAAAACAGTCTATAAACAGGAATCTGTTCGTTTTGTGCAATGCAGCTCCATGCAGCAATGCTAGCTGCTGACTAAGGATGCCAGAAGAAGCCTAGCACATCGTAGGAAATTGCTGTTGAGCTGTGCAACCATTACACAGGACAAACAGAAACATTCACAAGAGCCAGAAGTAGCTTCAAATTGCCTATTAATTCTGGATGCCTGTCAGCAATTGTTATCTGATGGGCCAGAGTGAGCGGGCATCTTCTACGGAGGAAAAAAAAAGAAATCAAATCTAACCATTACTTAAAAGCAATAGCTAAAGAATCATTTCATCATGACTTTCATCCCCTTTGCCTTTTAGCCCCCCTTCACAATGGCTGGTTCCTCCTGGCAGCACTCCCCTCTCAGCTTGCTGGAGCTCCTGGCCCCGTTCTTCCCCCACCACTGACCCTGTCCCAGCCGAGGGGGTCGCGCTGTGAAGGTGCAGGGTCCCCTCCCAGCTGTGAATTGCCAGCAGCTGGGGGCATCCCCTCCCAGCCTGAACACTCAGTGCTTCCTCCTTGTCACCGTGTGGCTCTG